TCCAGGTCCCTCTCCCTTTCTCTCACCTCCTCCCACGCCCTCCCACCAACACCTCCAATATCCCCTCATTTCCCCAGGGAGGGTGAGGCCCTCCATCGGGGTGTCCATAGTCTGTCATTTCATCCAGGACAGGGCCTAGACCTTCCCCTGGGAGTCCAGGTGAGAGTGCATCTCTCATTGTTGAATGGGCGCCCAAAGTCCATTTGTATACCTGGGATAAATACTGATCTACTACCCAAAGCCCAATAGATTACCTAGGCCTCCTCACTGACACCCACATTCAGGGGGTCTTGATCAGGGACTTGGGACTTTTAATCATTTAAATACGCTTATTGAACACATGTCCTGTGAATTAAAGCTATGAACAGAAGAGAGACCTTTCAAGCTTCTCACAGCTGACGTTCATTGGAGAACAGTAAACAAGTAACTAAATTACACTTTTTTGTATGTTAGGTACTGATGAGTAAATCAAGGAAAGGACTACAAGTTCTACTTTAAATGAGATGGTTAAAGATGGCCTTTCTGAGAAAATAACATACTTAGAAATGAATGAAGTAAGAGAGTGCAGGCTCAAGGACAACTGTGCCTGGAGCACACAAGCCTTCAAGATAAGACACAAAACAGGAACCAGCAGCAGAAAAAAAAACAGATCAAAAGGGAGTGAACAAAAATAAAGACAACTCTTTCAAGTAACGACTGTAACAAAAAGTGAGAAAACTGAGTACCTGGAGATGGAAGTAGCATCAGGAGAGAATTTCTTTCTTTGGTGCTTGTTTGCTTGTCTGCTTGCTTTCTTTCTTGCTTGCTTGCTTAATATAGAAGTGTGTGTGTTGAGCATTGGTGTAGAAGGTAAACAATGGCCTTAAATCCTCTCCTTATATAGTCTTTTACATGGTAACTCAATAGCTTTTCCTTGTGGATTGGCTTTGTGAGCATCTCTGGTATTAGAATGGAGAAGAAGTGATGGTATATAATGCGTACTCTTAGAGCTCTTATACTAGCCTGAGGTCACCATGTAACAAAATCCTAAATGGGCTGATTCAGCATCCACCCCACACAAACCAACACAGAAAGGAGGACCCTTTAAAAAGTAGAAATATCTAGAGACAAAAATAATATTTTTTCCACTGGAGGGATGAGGTTTAAAAGTGTCTTGGCCTGGGATGTCCACCCATGATGAATTGATCAACTTAAACAAAAAAGGGGAACTGATAGGCTGTCAGCCTCTAGTACACATGTTCATGAATGGCTTTATCGTATCTGACCAGTCTGGACCAGTCAGCCAGAAGGAAGTCCCTGCTGGCCTTTGTCTCAGATCAGAAAGGTGGGGAAGAAGACAGAAATTTGTCACATTTACTATTTGTCTGTGAGTTCTTTCCTTACCTATTTGTCTGTCAAGGATCTGCCTAGCCTCTAGTCCCTCAGAGTAACTTATGGCAAAGCACAGCCTGAGTGCTAGAATTAACTAACATTGCTCTTTCCATGCTCCTGTCTCATTTAATATGCACATCTCCACTACATACAAATGTCATGGCAAAACTAAGGGCTGTGCATGTAGAACGGGGCCTATCCTACCCTCTTGAAATGACATGGATGATACTTGATGTTGGGGAAAGAAAGAAATAACACTACCCAAGCTAAAAGCCAAGGGGCAAAGTCCTTCTGACCCTGACTAGATATTCTGGGAAAGGAGGCATGGGGCTTAATGGAGAAGGCTCATAGAAAGAATGTACATTTGTGATACCCAAATATAGACATGCCTTACAAGTCTTTGGAGTGAGTGTTACATTTTTCAAAGAAAAGATGGAAGTTTTCTTGGACAACATCTATTACCCCTTTATTAGTTCCCGCATGAAAATGCATGACAGCTATGGGTTATCTTTTTTTCAAAGAAAAAACTGAAGTTTTCTAGGACAACATTTATTACCCCTTTATTAATTCCCACACAAGGATGCATGACAGCTATGGATTATTTAGTCAAGTAGACATGGGTAGTGAGTTGCTATGAAATGCCAAAAAAAAAAAAGGACCCTGCCTGAAATGGAGAACCATGGTTGGTGATGTTTGTGGACTTCTATGGTAGACAGTTACAAGTTGTCCACATGCTACACTGAGATGTAACAGATACACACAACTGACTCTTATTAACCACAACAAGCATCTGGCATCACCCTGGGCCTGGGTACTTCTTGCCATCTCTTCCCAGACACTTCACAAATTAAGAAGCTACAGGATACTACTAATGGAAGATTCCGGGCTCTGAAGATACACATGAACACTGTGAAAGGGCCCTGAGGCAGACTTCTGCAAGCAGCTGCACAGGCCTGGGAGAGTCAATGACAACATGGGCCTTCTGCTCCTCCTCCACCCACAGCCAGGGTCTGTGCCCTGGAACTGTTGCAACCTGACAACTTAGGGAGAGCAGAGAGATTTGGGGTGTCTCAGTAGGCAGATGGCTGCTGAACATGGCCCCTGACAGTATTGAACTCAACCTGCCTTCACCTTGGCTAGGATGCCAAGGATCTGGGCTCCTGGGCTCCTGAGGACCATCTAACCCCAGATGATATTGCTCCCCCACTTTCATTGACTCTACTGTACAGTTTCCAGCCTAGCTGGAAGTCCTGATTGCTAAGCTGAGTGTCTTTCCTCTTCAGTACCAGCAGGAGCAGCTGAGAGCAGAAATCTCTGCCTCAATCATCCCTGACTGCTAGTTTCCCCAGGGAGGGCTGACAGTGAAGACAAGGAGGAACCACAGAGACAGAGCTGATAGGAAATGAAGGCCCTCCCTTGCCATTTCAGCAGAATAGTTTCCCCTTCCTGCCATGTGCCTTAATGTCCAAAGACCATTGTGGATTTTGTAATCAGGAAACATTCACTAAGGACTCCAGAAGGGAGAAAAGTAGAAGCCCAGGGTGATCACGGGACTGATGGAAGGGTGAAGCATACTTTAATGATAGGTGTTTGGTTTAAATACTAAAACTCTTGTCAGTAACAACACATTGAAGTGTTTCCTTATTTTTCAGTTTTTAGGTTTGATTTCACACGTGCTACTTCTGCATATTTAAAGGATGCAGGGGACATTTCAGTACATGTGCACAGTGTGTTATGGTCAGCCAGAGTAATGGGATGTCTCTGGATACTTGAATACTTCAACAATCCTCTTTAGCTATTTTGAAATATCAAAGTATGTGTTATCAGCCTTACTGTGCTACAGAGCATGAGAATAGCCCTGCTGTCCAGCTTCAGCCCTGTCCTGTTACCAGTCCTCTCTCCACCCTGATCCCAAACTCTCCTCAGGCTCTGTAATCACAACTTGACTTTCTAATTCTGTGAGACCAGTTTTCTAGAGGTTTGATAGCATGTTTCATATGGAAGAACTGTCATTGACAATCTAGAAAGATCACTTTCTATGTTAGCCATGAAGAAACCTAGAGGGACAAGAAGGAATGCAGACATTGTGGTCAGGGTGTCTGGGAGTGACAGACTTTAGAGCACGACCACTGCATGACAGTCAGGTCCCTGATAGTCACTGCCTGGGGATGAAGGGACATTTTTCACATGGCTGTATAGCATCTTCGCAAGGTATGCCTTCCTTAATCTTCCCTATTCCAGATTAGGAATTTAGGTTCAAAGAAACAAGTTAATTCATCCAAAGACACACCACTAGCATGTTCCAACAAAGCCCATACTCCCTTTTTTGGAGGATAGTTAAAAAATCTGACTGAAAAGAATTCAAAAAGTGTACAATCATACATGGTGTGGAAGTTATACTGTGGCAAGAGATCTATTGGGTCTTTTGTTTATCTCAAGGCAATCCTGGTTAAATAATAATAATTAATAGTTAATAATAATAGCTCAGAGTTCATTTCATCAGAATCCTATCTTCCATGTAGCTCCTATGAGGCAGCACCTTTTGGATCCAGGCATCTCTTCCTCCCTGAGTCCATTTTTCATTTCTGTCATTGCCTCCTTTCTAGCCTTCGCTTGGTACTCACAGAGGTCTATGAGTTAACTCTAAAGCTACCTATACCACATAAAACCATGTGATATGTATCAACCTAAATCAAACAACCAGCCTGGTACCTTGAATCTCAATCTATAAAGTGACAGGTTGTTGTACCAAGAATTCATTGTCTCAGCTATAATAGTGTCAGACAGGGAGGATTTCTTCATTATGCAACATTCATGGCCCTGTCTGCCAAATGACAGTTGTAGCCTCAGCTTTTTAGGCAACAATAATGGAAGGAATGTAGGAGGGAATCAAGAATGGGGGGAAGGGATGGAGGGAAGGAAGGAAGGGAAAACCTTTTCAAGTGCTGATAAGGCCATTACCCCTGTCATTGAGAACCTTTATAGAATGAAATCCATGAATTTGTTCAGTTTTTTTTTTACTCTTTACCAAGACTGTTTCTCTTCCTAGCGCCTTTGTAGAGACTCCAGGAGCAGAGCCAGAACTTTGATTTGAGGTAGGAAAGTCCAACAGTTGCAGGACTGGATTTAAGCATCCTGGGTTTCAATCCAGCTCTCATTCTCACCATTCTGTGTCCTGGGGCACAGTTCCAACACTCTGCACCTCTGAGTCATCACCTTTAAAACAAAAATAAAGTGGAACCTCAGGAGGCTTTGAATACTCAGCCAGATGTCTAAGCCCTTGAACTTAGACTTAGGAATCCTTAGTTTGCACAGTATGATAATGTTCCCGTTTGTGTTATCCTTATATACCCACTGATGAAATCATTGAGTAAATTATTTCCACACTTGTTTGTTATGTGACTCTCTTAGATTAATTAATTAATCTGAATTAATGATGGCAGAAAGGACATGGGCACCCCATTTACACCATTTCAACTTCAAGTTTAGATAGACTCTAGGCACTAGTAAACAGTTCAATTGGTTGAAGAAATGTAACCATTTCCTTGTCTTTATTTTCCAGAGCCCTATGCATTTGATAGCAAAGTAAATATAGAGGTCATTTCCCCTGACCTGTAGAAGAATTTACAATGGAGATTTCAGCCATCACAGAGTCCTACTACAACTCCAAGAATGACTACTTTCCTGGAATTTTTTGTGCAAGCATGAATGTGCGGGCATTTGGAGTCACAGTGCTGATCCCCCTGTACTCCCTGGTGTTCATCATTGGAGTGATAGGCAATGTCCTGGTGGTTCTGGTGCTCATACAACACAAGAGGCTTCGAAGCATGACCAGCATCTACCTACTCAACCTGGCCATCTCTGATCTGGTCTTCCTCTTCACATTACCTTTCTGGATTGACTATATACTAAAAGGAGACTGGGTTTTTGGTGATGGTATGTGTAAGTTCCTCACTGGTTTTTATTATCTGGGCTTGTATAGTGACATGTTTTTCATCACCTTGCTTACAATTGATAGGTACCTAGCCATTGTCCATGCTGTGTTTGCCCTGCGTGCCCGGACTGTCACTTTTGGCATCATCACCAGCATCATAACCTGGGTCCTGGCCATCTTGGTTTCCACTCCTTGTCTGTATTTTTTCAGGGCCCAGTTGGAGTTCACTTACCATACCTGCAGAGCAGATTTGCCCCAGGAGAGTCTGAAGCATTTTTTGAGGTTTCAGGCACTAACAATGAACCTCCTTGGACTAATTTTACCTCTCTTGGCCATGATCTTCTGCTACACAAGGATCATCAGTGTTCTACACAGAAGACCCAATAAGAAGAAGTCCAAAGCTATGCGTCTGATTTTTGTTATCACACTTCTCTTCTTCCTCCTCTGGACCCCCTACTATCTGGCTGCATTTGCTTCTGCTTTTGACGATTTCCTATTCACCAGAGGGTGTGAGAGAAGCCAACAGTTGGACCTGGCCTTGATGGTAACTGAGGCAATTGCCTACACCCACTGCTGTGTCAACCCAGTCATTTATGTCTTTGTGGGTGAGAGGTTCCGGAAATACCTCAGGCAGCTGTTTCAGAGGCATGTGATTATACCCCTGGCAAAATGGCTGCCCTTCTTCTCTGTGGAACGAACACAGAGGGCCAATTCCATATCTCCATCCACAGGGGAAAATGAGCTTTCTGCTGGCTTATAATTCAGACCCCTGAAGGCCAACAAATATCCAGGAGTGAAAAGACAGCGTAACTCTCCAAAACAGATACTGTCTGATGAGTCATTGTATTGTAGATCATCGGGACCTTGCAGGTAGCTTAACAGTATGCCAACTCTTTAATGTTTGCCATAATTGTCTTCCTGTCAGAAAAAAGATGTATGAACAAATTGTGACATTCTAAAGACTGGGTCAATAGTTTCCAGGGAAGGGCTTAGGCCCAACAAGAGGTAGAGGTTATTGTCATTAGGACTGTCAAATAAAACAAACCCTACTCCCAATGATTGTTGAACCAGCTAAGTCTACAACTGTGTGTCCTCTGCACCTGGGGGTCAATTGCAGTTCACAGATGCCTCCTCCACTGCACCCCCACTGCAGGGCCCGAACTCTTGAAAACCTTGGAATTCAAGGTTGCATTTGAGATCTATCGAGGTACTGCTTTATCATTTGGCTAGAAAAGTCATTAGACAGAATTTTATATTTGTTAAAAACCAAAGACTTACAGCAAGTAAATAGGAAAGGACATTCACCTTCCCTATTACATTCTTCTCCCTAAGGGAAGAAGTCTCTTAGTATATAATATAGCAAACTATGGCTAATATATATACTGTATATTAACATTTATGTTACCCTTTCTAATCCTGGAGGTCTTATGTATCTAGTCTAGAAAAGCTTTGTCTTTGCTTAACAGCATGGCTAATATGTGTGGTGTGAGAAGCACTCTGGAATTATTTTACCATGCTTGACCTTGGAACTCGGTTCACCCAGTGGTTTCATTTTCAGTGGCTGCCACTTGCTTTCCCCAGGAGACCTCACTTAGTTTGATAACTCCATTTACCAATCTTATCTCATGATGGAAAAAAGGATTTTTTTGTAATGTTTTATTCATCACAAATGACTTTTATCAACTTATTACTTCATTGATCTTATACTGTGTTGAATAGAAATCCCTAAATTTTTTGGAGGGGTTGCTTGTTTGGTTGGTTTTGGGTTTTGGAGGGGGGGTCTTCTTTGTTTGGTTTGTTGGTTAGTTTGGGTTTTCATTCAGGGCTTCTCTAGATAGCCTCAGCTGTCCTGAAACATGCTCAGTAGACTGTGAGCGTGCTGGCTTCAAACTCAGAGATTCTCCTGCCTCTGCCTCTCCAGTGTCGGGATTAAAAGAGCATACCTCCACCACCCAGCCAGTTAAAAATCACAATTTTGATGTAATAAATTTCATATTTTTTTAAAAAAATCGGCTTCTGCTATTGAAATGCTGTTTAAAGTTTTCATGGGCCCATCTTTTCTAATTTGTCCTATATTGTTTCTGTTACTAAAATATTTCTTTTTAGATGTTTAATCTGACATGTAACTCTGATATGCTACACAGCTTCTCAGAAATTGATTATTCCAATCTGTGAAGTGTAGATTATAGTGGCATTTATCTGACCGGGTTGTCATGAAGAATAATTGATAGTGTACACAAAGTGCCAATGTATAGTATCATGTAAATGACTGTATATTCAAAATAAATGATTGCAGTATATTTCTGTAAGTCATGGAGTAACTGAAGATACAGCAAAAAGCATAGATGGTTCTAATAAACGAAGCTTCAGAGATGCCAACCAGGAAAAAAAAAGAATTTTTACTTTTTCATAATTATAAGGCAGTGTCAACAAGGACACTAAAAAGTCTTGATGTAGGCTGATTTTGTTTCTTCTCTGTAGAGTTTCATGCAGTGCATGGATTTGGTCTTTGCAGCTCTGCATCCTCTAAAAGTGCCCAATATTTGTTTTTAGTCTTTTCACTTCCCATTCTCACTTTCCAGAGTAAGAGATAACTGTCTAAAAGGAGCTGGTAGGTTGTTCTGTGCCACATCTGGATGCTGTCTTCCTAAAAGCATTGCTCCAGATGCTCCCTGTCCCCTGCCATACCTCCAGAATAGGAACCCATCAAGCACCCCCTTAACTAGAGTGACACACCAGCTGTCTTGCCCACCTGCAGCAGCTTGGTCCCTCCATTTCCATCGGCAAATATACTTTGCTCTGTGTATTGTGACTTTCATCATCAATGACAGAACCCCCCCCCACACGAAACGTATGGGCAGAAGGATGCATTTGGTTCACAGTTTGAATTCATCGTCCTTCATGATAAGTGTATGACTTGGCTGGTCATAAGGTATCCAAATAAGAAGCAGATAGAAGAATTCTAGTGTTCCAACTGCCTTCTCCTTTGTACTTAGCCCAGAACCACAGCCCATGGAATAGTTCAACCCCTATTCAGGATGGACTTTCTTTGGAATGGCCTCATAAACATGCACAGAACTTTGTATTCAAGGTGATTCTAAATCTCATCAGAGTGGAAAGATTAGACAGCACAAATCTACCCCTTATCAAATTGACAACTTTGGGCTGTAGAGTCTCACATTCAACTCATAATACACAAGATAATTTCCATATACAGAAGTCTCCAGCATCTTAATAAATATAAAATTGTTCAAAACTGTAAATGCAGAGTCTCTTATATGTCTCATTCTACCTCTTACCTGGAAGCCCCTGTAAAATAAAAAAAGCGAGTTATAACTCTTGTATAAGAAACAATACTTTTCATTATATATAAAGATACAATTTATATATTAAATTATAATATCATATGCTGGTGCAGTTTTTTTTTGTCTTGACTGCTGTCTCCTCAATAAGCACACAGAGACATTGTTAATTATAAATGCTCAGCTGATAGCTTTGGCTTGTTACAAACTATCTCTTACAACTTAAATTAGCCCATATTTATTGTATACACTCTACTACATGGTGGTACCTTTTTTTTCGGCATGGCATGATCATTTTGCTTCTCTGCACATCTCACTGGTGATCCACCCTCTTTCTCTACTGTGCTAACCTTTTCCTGCCTAGCCATTGGCCAGTCAGCTCTTTATTAAACCAATGAGAGTAACAAATATTCAGAGTGTACAGAAATATAGAAAGGTTTGATATGGTTTTAATTAGAAGAAAATGGGGAAATTTTGAATTATAAAATCATTTCCCCAGAACATACTTTTTAATCATTTTTTTACATTGATTGCTGCATTGTCCAATATACAACAGCACAAAGTAAACATTCCAGTTCCATAAGTTAGGAAGGGAGAATAAGGAGAGAAGACCAGACCAAAGCAAGATGGAAACCCAGAAGGGAAAACACCAAACACTGCAGCTCCATATCTGGCACCTGAGAGACATGATAGCATCATCTGGTCTCCAACAGTCTTGGGAAGACCCAGTCCTGTAACTCCCTGACTGCTTCCACTCTGTGCCTATAGTTTTCCTCAGTGCACACACCACAGTCCTGACATTGCTTCCTTCCTGAGGCCTCCACTGAAATTCAGAATTGACTCGCATAGCTTCATGTATGAGGACTTCTTAATGCCTCCTTTCAGGAAATCTGATCATTTCACATATTACCTGGACTCACAAGCCTATGTTCTCTCTGGGTTTTCAGAATTACAAGGAGCCAGACACACACAGACTTTGTTTGCTTCTTTGGGGATGAACTGAGTGATGACAGTTTTATAGATAGAAATCTGAATCATGAAGATAAGGCAGGCTAGGAACACAAGGAAATCCAAAGGAATGTGGGAAGAAAAAGGGGCCCTTCGCTACTGTGGGCTAAGATTCAGGAAAATCTTATTAACAATATCTTGAATATGTTTACAGCCCAACTGTACCATTAATTCCTTGTGATCTATGTATAGCAAGAATTTATTTGATGATCTTTTATCTATGTTTTATCTTATTGGTCTATAAACCTTTACTTTAGAAACCACCTTAGGATTTCATTTACTAAAGGAAAGTTCCTGAGTTGGTGAGATAGTTTCATGAGTAAAAGCACTTGCTACACAAACTTGAGTTAGATTACAGAACTCATGGCGAAGGATAGAAAAAACTCCTGAAAGTTGTTCTTACACATGCTGTGGCATGTGCATACCACTCCCACATGAACACATAACACAAATATACACTAAATATTTTTAAAGTTCATAAGGACAAAGTTTCTTAGATAAGAATGAGTATACTGAAACATTTTTGCATAATATTTTACATCCCCTAAACAATGTAACTCTAAAAGCCACCCCAATCCTATAGATAGTTATTGTCAAAACACTTATGGGGTTGAGGTTGTATCTCAGTTGAGTACTTACCTAATACATACAAAGCATTTGGTATGACTCCTAGCACCACATAACATGACACAGTATCACAGCTTGGGAGGCAGATGCGGGAAGATAAGAAATTCGAAGTCAAGCTAAGCTATGTGAAAATATGTCTCAAAAAATGAAATTGAAATGGGTCCCTGGGTAAAATGCTTGTTGTACAAGCACGAGAACCCAAGTTCTGATTCCCCAGAACCCATATAAGTCCAGAGGTGGTAATATGCATCTATAATCCCAGTTCTCCTACAGAAGGGCAGGAGGCAGGGACAGAATCTCGGGAAGCTTCTGAGTCAGTTAACTTGGTGTATCTGACAGTGAACAACAAAAAGACACTGTCTCAAGCAAGGTGAAAGTCAATGACCAACACTCGAAATTGTCCCCTGACACACATGCTATGGAATGATCATACCCACACACATACACTTGCCTGCACATGTGCTTGTGTGCTTAAACATGTGCATGCACACAAATAAATAAGCACAAAGAGATTAAAAAGTTAATACTACCACATTTTCCACAGTGATTGCTAACTGTACTGAGCATATGAAACATATCTGTAATCTCATAATCCCAGAAATAGGGAAGATCAGGCATGAATATCATGAGTGTGAAACTGGTCTGAGCTATATAAAATGTTTCTTTAAAAGACCTTATATGTGATAATTCCCTGCTCTTGAGCAGTCATACCCATTCTAGGGCATGTCCTACTCTCCTGTTACATGTCTATCCTCCTCTGTGTTTACGTCTATATGCCATGAGCATGTTATATCAGGAATAGAAGGGCATAACTGTGTCTCTC